GTGAATCTAAAAACCAAGGGAATCAAAAATCTGATGAACAGAATAATCTGGTGAATATAATAGAATCAGGGGCACAGAAAGGGAGTAAACTAACAATTCTCAGGGGAAAAGGCGAGTGGGGGGGGGTGCAGGAAGAAACTGAACAAAAAGCGTACACCTATGGATGAGGACAGTGTGGGGCGGAGGGTGGGATAAGGGCAGAGGGTAGGGTAGGAACCTGGTGGAGGGGAGCTATGGGGGCAAAAAAGAGGAACAATTGTGATAATCTGAACAATAAAGATTTATTAAATAAAAAAATAAATAAATGAGCTTTTGTTTGGTTAGCTGGGCCACTGTGGACAGTTGCACAGGTTGGCCACAGCTGAAGGTCAGCTGGCCACATGGCCAAGTGAGGCTGCAATCCCTCCCTCCCTCCTCTTCCCTATCTCTGCGCTCTGATTTGGGGCTACTCGGCCCCCTAGGAGGAGCGCCTTTGGCTTAATTGTTCACCCAGAGAGCCACCATTTCTCCATGGGCACTGAGGCGTTGTGTAGACAAGCACTTTAAGCTTTGGTTTGAAATAAGAAATAATAGTACAGATGCAGAAGAACTGTCTGGTGTTGGGAATGAGCATAACGGGGTAGTTGGGAGGTAGGGTGAGTGCTTGAGACAGAGAGGGTTCAGAAGACTGGGTTACAGCATCCAGGAGGGAGGGAGGAAGAGAACAGGGGAAGGAGGACCACGAGATCTACAATGCCTTCTACTGCGGCTGAGTCCCACAGCCCATCTCACTCGGGTCTGTGCTGACCAGGCAAGGGCAGCTTGCTGTCCCCTAAAGAGCTCTGTGCCTCAATTTAAGACCAAGATGCTCATATCAGATCTGCCTTGTGTAAAGGATCCTCTTGCGTATCTCTTCACCCGATCTCCATAGAAATCCTTTGCTTAAAAAATGTTTCTTTTACATGACTCTTTCCACTTGAGCCATTTCTCTTTCTTTCTTTCTTTCTTTCTTTCTTTCTTTCTTTCTTTCTTTCTTTCTTTCTTTCCACTTGAGCCATTTCTCTTTCTTTCTTTCTTTCTTTCTTTCTTTCTTTCTTTCTTTCTTTCTTTCTTTCTTTCTTTCTTTCTCTCTCTTTCTCTCTCTCTCTCTCTCTCTTTCAGGTTAACCCTCACCTGAGGCTATTTTTCCATTGATTTTCAGAGAGAGTGGAAGGGAGGGAGAGACACACAGAGAGAGAAACATCGATGTAAGAGAGACACATCAATTGGTTGTCTCCTGCATGTGCCCCAACCAGGACTGGGGATCAAGTCTGCAACTGAGGTTTGTGCCCTTGGCTGGAGTCGAACCAGGACCCTTCAGTCTGTGGGCTGAGGCTCTGTCCACTGAGCCATACCAGCTAAGCCAGCCTTTTCTTATTTGATGTTGTTGTTGTTTTTTTTCATTAACCTATTCCCAGAACCTGGTACTGTCCTAGGTCTTGCGGCAGCTCCAGGGCTCCATGGTATTTCCTTCTGAGGACTTTACTGCAGCCTGGATGTGGAGAATCCATCTGCTGCTCTATGAGTGCTCTGGAGCTCAGCAACACCACAAGAGAGGGTGTGGCCTAAACCAGTTTGGCTTAATGAATAGAGCATTGGCCTGCAGACTGAAGGGTCCTGGGTTCTATTCCAGTCAAAGGCATGTACCTTGGTTGTGGGCATATCCCCAGTGGGGGGTGTGCAAGAGGCAGCTGATCGATGATTCTCTCTCATTGATGTTTCTAACTCTCTATCCCTCTCTCTTCCTCTCTGTAAAAAATCAATAAAATATTTTCTTTTAAAAGAGAGGGTGTGGCCAGCGCCCCAAGAGTGGTTCTCTTGGCCTTCTGTGGCAGCAGCCAGTAGATGAATGGATCCCACAACAGAAGTAACAGTAGCACTAGCTCTACTTGTTGACCAGCCAGTAGAAAACCTAGGAAGGCTCATTAGGCTTAACTCAGTAGCTCATCAGGCGCTAGACTGTTTGTAAGTATACCCCTAGTGTGTGCCATGCTTTATGAGATCCTAATTAACTGGTCTATAATTGGATGACACATTGTATCCAAGAAGCCAGAGCATGTGCATTTGACTTTTCTAGAAAGGTGGACCAATGCTATAGCCTTAAAGGGTCTTCCTCAGTACATATGGCAGCCATTTTTTAAAAATATGTTTTTATTGATTTCAGAAAGGAAGGGAGAGGGAGAGAGAGAGGAACATCAATGGTGAGAGAGAATCATTGATCAGCTGCCTCTTGAACACCCTACAGCAAGGATTGAGCCTGCAATTTGGGCATGTGCCCTGACCAGAAATCGAACTGGGACCTCCTGGTTCATGGGTCAACTCTCAACCACTGAGCCATGCAAACCGGGCTAGACTGGCAGTCATTTTGACTTTCCTTATTAACCTTATTTCTGAGCAAAGGTTTCAAGGGAAACCAAGGGACTGGGTGGCGGCCAGATGAGGTCTTTGATCTCACAGTCGCCAAGGGTATTGGTGAGCATGAAGCCACGAGCTGTGCTTCCTGATGTCATGGTAACCCCTTCCCAAACTATGCACCAGGCCCTGAATTGCCTGAGGGACCAGTCATTGCGGATCAGTTTAGGAATGGCCACCCAAGCTATTGCTGACATTTTGTTGCTATTAATCCTCACCCAAAGATATTTTCCCATGGATTTTTAGGGAGAGTAGACGAGAGAGGGAAAGACAGAGAGAAACATCAATGTGAGAGAGACACATCACTCGGTTGCCTCCTGCATGAGCCCTGACCAGTACCTAGGCCGGGGAGGAGCCTGCAATCAAGGTATTATAGAACCTAGGAAACTTTGGTCCACAGACCGACACTCTATCCACTGAGCCAATTGCCATGGCATCGATGACTCCTGAAAGCATGCCTTCATAGCAAGGATTTACAAATATGTGTGTTGTCACAGAGAGAGGTTATGCCAGGGAGGGGAACCAAAGGCCTGGGGGAAAGTAATGATAGCAGTGTGTGTGTGTGTGTGTGTGTGTGTGTGTGTGTGTGTGTGAATGTCAACCCTACCCACATTGTCCCCAATGTATGTGGTTTCCTCCAAATGAAGGCATGTGAGGCAAGATGAAGCACATTCTGTTCCATTCTAACAACTCCTTTGGCCAGGGGTCAGCAAATGTTTTCTGTAAAGGAAGTAGTTTAGGCTTTGCAGGTCAAAAGGCGAATTGAAATTGCACAATTACCTAATGATAAAATTCAAAATACAATAATCAAGTGCAGCTTTGGTTAATATAGGCAAATAATGGAATTCTTTTTGTTGTTGTTACTCCTCACTGGAGGATATTTTTCCATTGATTTCTAGAGAGAGTGGAAGGGAAAGGGAGAGACACACAGAGAGAAACATTTATGTGAGAGAGACACATCAATTGGTTGCCTCCTGCACGTGCACTCACCTCAGAGCTGGGGATCAAAACTGCAACCTAGGTACATGCCCATGACAGAATCAAACCCAGGACCCTCTATCCACTGAGCCGAACCAGCTAGGGCAAGAATGGAATTCTTTGATAATAGTTTGCCTAGCTGGAGTTTAAAGTTAGTATTCTCCATCATCACATGAGTAGGAAAAGTTTGCTGGCCCTCTCCCTGAGAGCTTACAATCCAATGCACGTATTAGGCCAAATCCAGAAACTACATCTTCTTGCCTCATGAATGAATGTTCACGCCCATCCATTCACTCCCTCCTTCACTCATTCTGTGCAGTGTTTTGGAGCTTATAATATGTGTCAGATACCTGGTGGAGGGTCCACACCTACCTTGGAAATGTGCTGTCTTGGAAATGTGTGGAACAGCCCAGCCGGTGTGGCTCAGTGGTTGAGCATCTACCTAAGAACCAGGAGGTCAGGATTTGATTCCTAGTTAGAGCACAGGTCCCGGTTCTGGGCTCGATCCCCAATAGGGGTCGTGCAGGTGGCAGATGATCCATGATTCTCTCTCATCATTGATGTTTCTATCTCTCCCTCTCCCTTCTTCTCTGAAATCAATACAAATATATTTAATAAAAAAAGAGAAATGTGTGGAACAAATGAAGCAATACAAATATTATTTATTTATGTCTAAAAATTATGTAACAAAAGATGAATTTGGGTAATCTTAAATTGTGTACAAATTTATCGCAAACTTAAAAAAAAAAAATCCACACCCTAGCCCTGGCCAGTTTGGTTAAATGGTTGGAGCATTGGCCTCTGGACTGAAGGGTCTCGAGTTTGATTCCCTATCAAGAACACGTACCTCATTTGCAGGCTCGATCCCCTGCCCTAGTCAGGGCGAGTGCAGGAGGCAACTAATCAACGTGCCTCTCTCACATCGATGTTTCTCTCCCCCCCCCCCCACCTTTCTTCTCCACCACTCTCTCTTAAAAAAAAATCAGTGGAAAAAACGTCCTCGGGTGAGGATTAAAAACAAACAAATTAAAAACACCCTAGAGTTTTCTTAGTAAAAGAATAAATTTCCCAGTTTCTGTCCCTCACTTTCCCTTAATTCTGCTCTTCGGAGCTAACTGCTGCTAACATTTTTTTAAAAATATTTTTTATTGATTTTTTACAGAGAGGAAGGCAGAGAGATAGAGAGCTAGAAACGTCGATGAGAGAGAAACATCGACCGGCTGCCTCCTGCACACCCCCTACTGGGGATGTGCCCGCAACCAATGTACATGCCCTAGACCGGAATTGAACCTGGGACCTTTCAGTCCACAGACCGATGCTCTACCACTGAGCCAAACCAGCTTCGGCGCTGCTGCTAACATTTTGGTGAGAATCCTTGTATCCGCCCTGCCCCCACTTACCCTCATACATATACTCACAAAAATACACTGTCTGTGTCTGGCTTGGGGAATATTTAGATCATTTTATAAATAACTTGCCTCCACCCAGCTCAGTTTTGAAATTGTAAAGCAGTGTCCATAAATGATTTGGCAATAGTTAAGAAATCACAAGTTCCCCTCTTTTCAGATAAACTTCTGCAAACCGCATGCTCCGTACCACTGGTAGCAACACGGCCACTTTCAGGAAGCACAACAGTTTCTCTTCTTCGCGCACCTGCTGCCAGCGGGTACCCCTGTGGCGCTTAGTGCGGGCCATGCCATGAGAGACTAGGAGGGTCGGCAGCAGAAAAGCGGTAAGCTGTTTCTATTCCTTTCACCAAGCTTTCCAACAAAATAGGTGATTGCTTCCCCCCCCCCCCCTGAAATATGGTTTGGTGGCCACTGGTGTGACAGGGACAGTGGTGAATGGCAAGCAAGCGTGGAAGGTTTGGTGTTGAAACCGCTGGAAAAGTAGGCACAGTGGCCTGGGATGCAGGTTTGAAAAAGCAGGTGCATTGTTGTGGACAGGAGATGAAGCAAATGCCAACTTAGGAAGGGCATGGGAACAGTCCTTCCGGTCCTGCCAGAAGCAGAATTCTCTTTTAGGACCAAAAGGGTGGGAGTGAAGCAGGTAGGACGTATCTCTCCTGTTGCTTCTACAGAAAGGCCCACAGTCCCCTCACAGGCCCAGCCGGAAGTCAGGGCAGTAAGAGGGGCTTAATCTTTAATATGACTTGCTACTGTCATCGTTCGGATGGTTTAAGGGACGTGTTACTAGTTCTAGAACCATATTCTCTAGTGTTTAGGCATAGCAGGTGGTCAGTTTTGTTATTGTCAAGAACTGCCAGATTGAAGATTAAACTTTATAAATTTTTTTGGTTAATCCTCACAACAGGATATTTTTCGATTGAGTTTTAGGGATAGGGAGAGAGGAAAAGAGTGAGAGGGAGGGAGAGAGGGAGGGAGGGAGGGAGGGAGGGAGGGAGAGAGAGAGAGAGAGAGAGAGAGAGAGAGAGAGAGAGAGAGAGAGAGAAACATCTATATGAGGACACACATCCATTAGTTGCCTGCTGCAAGCACCTTGACCAAGCCTGCCAACCTTCTAATCACTGAGCATACTGGCCAAGGCTAACCTCTATAATTTTTAAGAATATGTTTTCTAGAAAATTCAATAAGACCTAAGAACAATGGAAGAAGTCTGATTTCAAGTGAAGCTCTTCTGAAACTTACCCAATTTCCCCCACACCTATTTAGTGCTTAAAAAAGGACTTGGAGTCATTTCGTCAACATTTAATAGATACTCAAGTTTAAGTTCACTTGTGCATCCATTTGGTGCCATTATAGAGCTTGAATGTAAATTAATCCTGCGCTAAAATGTTGTAATGCTTTACAGAATCGCCTGGGCCTGTGGTGGGCAAACTCCGAGCCACGAGCCACATACGGCTCTTTGGCCCCTTGAGTGTGGCTCTTCCACAAAATACCACGGCCTTGGCGAGTCTATTTTGAAGAAGTGGCGTTAGAATAAGTTTAAGTTTAAAAAATGTGGCTCTCCAAAGAAATGTCAATTGTTGTACTGTTGATATTTGGCTCTGTGGACTAATGAGTTTGCAGACCACTGGCCTGGGCCATTGTGGCGATGACGTGTATGGAATGGCAAATGAAGTCAATGTCAACTTGATATTTGTCAAGTGCCTTGACTGTGTGTCGGAATGGCAGAGAAGCTTTTAGGAAGTTGGGCTCCCAGGCTGAGCCCCGGCCTAATGAGGTCAGAATCGTGGGGTGGGGTGGGGGTGGGGGCTGGGCTTTGTAGCTTTCTGGCTTCGCAGGAATGTAGAGCGCAGCTCCACTGAGAAGCGCTGTGGTCCTTGCACTAAAGAACACAGTGTTTTTTAGGGGTGACGAGGCGGCGGAAAGACCAGAAGCTTCTTCGTTAGCCCCTTGGGCTTGATTTCAGGAAGCAAAGGAGAAGTGCAGGAGCCCTGGCCGGGTAGCTCAGTTGGTTAGAGCAGCATCCCCATATGCAAGGTTTCGGGTTTGATCCCCAGGCAGGGCACGTACCAAAATTAACCAATGAATGCATAAATAAGTAGAACAACAAATCTCTCTCTCTCTCTCTCTCTCTCTCTCTCTCTCTCTCTCTCTCTCTCTCTGAAATAAGTAAGTAAATAAATAAATAAATAAAAACATTTAAAAAGCCCACCTGGTGTGGCTCAGTGGTTGAGTGTCTACCTATGTATCAGGAAGTCAGGGTTTGATTCCCGGTCAGGGCATATGCCCCGGTTATGGCTCCATCCCCAGTATGGGGTATGCAAGAGGCAGCCGATCAGTGATCCTCTCTCATCATTGATGTTTCTATCTCTCTCTCCCTTCTCCCTTCCTCTCTGAAATCAATGGAAATATATATTTTTGAAATAATAGTAAATAGCCCTGACTGGTTTGGCTCAGTGGATAGAGTGTCAGCCTGTGGACTGAAGGGTCCCAGGTTTGATTCTAGTCACGGGCATGTACCTTGGTTGCAGGCACATCCCCAGTAGGGGGTATGCAGGAGGCAGCTGATTGATATTTCTCTCATCAGTGTTTCTGACTATCCCTCTCCCTTCCTCTCTGTAAAAAAATCAATAAAAATATTTTTTAAAAATAGTAAATAAATGGGGATGCTGGATTTATTATTGTTGAACTATGACCCCCAGTTTATAACTATTCTGGGCTCTAAGAACACAGTAAGTGTAGATACACAACCACGGTTCTGGGTCCGCGTTAGCAAGCACAGGCTGTGTGGACTTTGGCTGAAATCAGTGCATTTCCAGTTGTTTTGCAGGAGTACAGACTGCTCCCCGACAGACTGAGGGGTGCAGAAAGGCATTGTGGGTAGTCCACCGGCACTTGAATCCTGAAGGTTCCAGGATGGCTATGATGACTTTGCTGATGATAGAAACCAGATCATTGCTAACTGGCCTCTTGGCTGCAGCCCTGCCAATTCGTTCATCACATGTGAGCTCAATCCCAGCTCTGCCACCTATGTTCAAGTGGCGGTGGGCAAAGTAGAATCTCTGAGTCTCATGTTCCAAGGCTGGAAAATGGAGGCCTCTGAGAGTACCACCTCGCCGGTTTGTAGGAGAATTAAAGAAGAAAATGCATGACGCTCACTCAACCCACTGTTTGCCTGGTGCTAAAGCACTCACCAAGTGTTCCCTGCCATATTTCCCAGATTTCGAATAGCATAATTTTTCATATTTTTAAAGAGAGAATCCTTTCTTAAAATATGTATATTTTCATTGATTTCAGAGAGGAAGGGAGAGAGGGCGAGAGAGAAACGTCACTGATCGGCTGCCTCCTGCATGCCCCACACTGGGGATCAAGTCTGAAACCCGGGCATGTGCCCTGACTGGGAATTGAACCCCGATCTCCTGGTTCATAGGTCGACACTCAACCACTGAGCTATGCTGCCGGGCTTTCATATTTTTTATTAATGTAAAATCAGGATCCATCTGTTCATTGATGTGTCCATTTAATGTGATAGAGCACATGTGTCAAACACAAGGCCCGTGGGCCAAATCCGTCCCGCCAGGCCTTGCAATGTGGCCCGCACAGCGCTGTCATCACTGCACTCCGCTGCGTTTCCATCACAATGACAGTTTATGACTGTTCAGTAAACCATTTGGCCCGCGATTTAGGCTGGATTTTAGATTTTGGCCCCTTCTCTGATTGAGTTCGACACCCTTATGATAGAGGGTTTTTTCATCTTTCAAAACTGTTCATGAGTCTATCGAATTTGGACAAAATATGGTATTTTGGGATAAAAGAAAGTATCTATTATTAATTGTACATTTCAGATGAGGTGACAAATCCTATCTGCACAACCATTACTTTATTAATTCACTTTCACAATATATCATCAGTGGTCACCATAGGCAACTACAAATTAATCAGCACCCATTAAAAATTAGAAATAGCCCTGGGTGGTGTGGCCCAGTGGTAGAGCATCAGCCTGCACACCAAAGGTTTGATGCCCAGTCAAGGGCACATACCTGGGTTGCATGTTCCATCCCTGCCCCGGTTGGGACATGTGTGGGAGGCAGCCAATCAAGGTATCTCTCTCTCTCTCTCTCTCTCTCTCTCTCTCTCTCTCTCTCTCTCTCTCACACACACACACACACACACACACACACACGTCAATTATTAAAAAATTCTTGGGTAAAGATTTAAAAAAAAAAAGAGAAATATTTCTTGCTTGGCGAAACTTCCGTTCTGGTTGAATCCCACATCATGCCCAAGCAGCTAAGTGATCCAGTTGGAGCATTAATCACATCTTATAATCAATAGATCCTCTTGATGCTACAGTGTTAGGGGGCATCAGCAGGAGTGCTGAGAAAGGGGTGCAGCTGGGGAGGAGGGCAAATCACATCTTGGTAAATGAAGTCTTTCAAAGAGAGAAGGAAGGACACCTTGTTGTGACATCTCTGCTTGCAACCTAGGACATGGCGTGAAAGGATAAAAGCATTTTAGCCAGAAAGGCAGCCTTAGCCATCTGGTAGACCCCTTCACCCTAGATTGCATGGGAAAACCTACGGGATTTATTTTGGCATCGCCGGGTGGTTCAGTCTTTTTGAACCCAGTCTCTGCCCTGCCTTCAGCTCTCATCCCCCTCCTAGGCTGGGTCCTGGGGGTGGTCCCTGGCTCCCTCTGAGTCCCAGAGTTCCTCAGCTAAGGCAGACTTTTCTGAGCTGTTTCTCCACCTGTGCTGATCTTTTAAAATTGTGTTTTTGGGCTCCAAGTTGAGAAGGAAGATTTAGACAAGGACTGAGACAGGTTGTTTTTTGTTTTGGAAAAATATATATTTTTATTAATTTCAGGGAGGAAGGGGGATGGAGAGAAGGAGAGAGGGAGGGAGGGAGGAAGAGGGGGAGGAAGGGAGGGAGGGAGAGAGAGAGAGAGAGAGAGAGAGAGAGAGAGAGAGAGACAGAGAGAAACATCAATGATGAGAGAGATTCATTGATCAGCTGCCTCCTGCATGCCTCATACTGGGGATCGAGCCCACAACTTTGGCATGTGTCCTGACCGAGAATTGAACCTCTACCTCCTGGTTCATAGGTCGGCGCTCAACCACTGGCCAAGTGAGACAGGTCCTTTTTATCATACTATTTGACTCCTGAACCCGAGGAGTTTTGGCTTTTCATGTGCCATGGACCCAACTGGAGACCTGACTCTGTTCGGAACATAGGAAAGCAGTTGTGAAATAGCTTCCTCCATAGCTAGCAACAGCTGGCTTTGGCAGGGAGGGAAGTTAGGCAGATTTCTTGGTATGTGTGATTCA